CCCCCCCCACAGGTGTACCTTTCCATGAGTAACATAGAGGTGACCACGCACACCTTGGCCACACCCACCTAATCTGCCATGACCACAGGGCACGCCCACCCAGTGGGCCATGCCCACCTGGCACCTGGCGATAAATGAGTTTTGGGTTGCAGTTTGGGCACTTGGTCTCTAAAAGGTTCGCCATCAGGCCAGTGATGGCGAACCTTTTAGACACCGAGTGCCCAAAAACTGCCCCGCCCCCCTGCTCCGCTCCGTGCCCTGCCCACCCCCACCACCCACAGGGTCACCTACCGTCTCCACAGCCCACTTCAGCAGATTGCCCAGGCGGCCCTACAGTACCATGGTGGCCACGCCCTCTGACCGCGCCCCACAGCATCATCTCCATGCAATGGGTACGAGGGCGGAGTCTTGTCCCCGCTGCCCAGCTGCCATGTCCTTGGCTGCGCTGCTCCACGTGGGCAGCTCCCGGGGCGACTCTCCTCCAGGAGGGTTGCTGGTGAGGATGGGGCCACGGGGGGAGGTGGGGCTGGGGCAACGGCGTGTGTGGGTGCCCACAGAGAGGGCTCTGCGTGCCACCTTTGGCACGTGTGCCATAGGTTCGCCACCACTGGCCTAGGCCTTCGGCTTTTGTAGAAAACTCAAAGGTCTGAGAAAAGTGCCTCTCTATTTCCAGATGAGAGTGAAGCTTTATCTATGTGTGGCTTGGCGAAAGAACACAAAACGGAAGATCAGAGGAAGAATCCCTGGAACACCAATATCTCCATCAGGGTAAGGGTGGCCTTTGGAATAGAATTAAGCTCAGAGAAGAACGCTTTCTCTAGTTATGCAGGTAGTCCTTGACTTACAACAGTTCATTTAGTGACCGTTCAAAGTTACAACCGCAGCATTGATTATTTTTTTTTCATACTTACAACCTCATGGTCACATGATCAAAATTCAAATGTTTGGCAACTGATTTATATTTATGACAAGTTACAAGGTCTTGGGAATCACACGATCAGCTTGTGTGGCCTTCTGAGAAGCAAATTCAACAGGGAAGCCAGATTCACTTTACAACTGTGTTACCAACTTAACAACTGCATTGATTCACCTAACAACTGTGGCAAGAAAGGTCATAAAGTGGGGCAAAACTCACTTAACAACTGACTCCCTTAGCAACAGAAATTTTGGGCTCAGTTGTGGTGGTTAGTTGAGAACTACCTGTAACCAGAGGAAGATTCGATATTTCTCATTTCTTACGGGCTCTCTCCATGGTGCCTTATTGATTTTAGATTATCTTGAGGCCACTATTGGACTGTTGGAATAAGGATGAAAATATTACCTTAATATTAGACAGCGTACTAAAAAGCAGAGACATTACCCTGCCAACAAAAGTACGTATAGTCAAGGCCATGGTTTTCCCAGTTGCAATGTATGGCTATGAAAGTTGGACCATAAGAAAGGCTGAGCAACAAAGAATTGAGGCCTTTGAACTATGGTGCTGGAGAAGACTCCTGCGAGTCCCTTGGACTGCAAGGCAATCAAACCGGTCAGTCCTAGAGGAGATCAACCCTGACTGCTCTTTAGAAGGCCAGATCCTGAAGTTGAAACTCAAATACTTTGGCCACCTAATGAGAAGGAAGGACTCACTGGAGAAGGGTCTAATGCTGGGAAAGATCGAGGGCAATAGAAGAAGAGAATGAGGTGGCTGGATGAAGTCACTGAAGCAGTAGGCGTGAGCTTAAATGGACTCCAGAAGATGGTAGAGGACAGGAAGGCCTGGAGGAACGTTGTCCATGGGGTCGCGATGGGTCGGACATGACTTCGCAACTAACAACAATAAAGAAGGATTATTCATGTCTGATCTATCCGTGGGCTGGAAATGACTTGGAGGCAGTTTGATGGGGACATTGCAGGAAAAAAAAAATGTTGACTGGGATGCAAGTGGGGAAATCCTCTTAGATGGGCACTACAGTTTGAACTTCAAAATTATTTCCCAAGGGAGCAAAACATTGAGCCTATAATGATATAGGCCTCCACATACGACCACACTTGAGCCCAAAATTTCTGTTGTTAAGTAAAACAGTTCTTAAGTGAATTTTGCCCCATTTTACGACCTCCTTGCCAAAGTTGTTAAGTGAATCACTGCGGTTGTTAAGTTAGTGTCCTGGTTGCTAAATGAATCTGGCTTCCCCGTTGATCTGGCTTGTCAGAAGGTCGCCAAAGGAAATCACATGACCCCGGGACACTGCGACCGTCATAAATATGAGTCAGTTGCCAAGCATCTGAATTTTGCTCAGGTGACCATGGGGATGCTGCAACAGCCGTAAGTGTGAAAAGTAGCAATAGCAATAGCACTTAGACTTATATACCACTTCACAGTGCGGTTGTAACTTCAAACAGTCACAAAATGAAATGTTGTAAGTCAAGGACAACCTGTTTTTTCTCTAAGATATTAACTATTCCCATTTCTCATCTGGTTTTCCTTCTTATTATCTTGATTGCTATCCTCTGGACATGCTGCATTTTTCAAAGTCCTTCCTAAAGTAGTGCTCAGACTTGGATGCAATATAATCAGTGTAGAATAGAGAGGCATGAGGATTTTTCTTGATCTTGACATTGTTTTGTAGTGGAGATGCAAATTCAGTGGCATTACTTCACTAGCTAATGACCTACCAATCACCATGAATCATTGGGATACAGAAAGAGCGAGGGATTTACTTTATCTTCTCTCTTTGTCTGTAATGGTGCTTGCTCTTGGTGTAAAAGATTGTTATCTCCTGTCACTTTGTTCGACATCTGCTTACACACACACACACACACACACACACACACACACACGTAGAACACATGTGCCTCCTGGTAACTAGGTGCTCGGAAACATCTAGGTCAGGGCCTTTCAACCTTTTCACCCATTGTACCACTTTTAGGATATGGCAACATCCAAGTACCACCAGTCGCCTAGCAAGGTGTCAAAAACTTTATGACCCCCCCCAAAAAAGGAAAAAAGTGATGAAGTGCAGGTAGTCCTCGACTTACAACAGTTCGCTTAGTGACTGTTCAAAGTTACAATGGCACTGAAAAAAGTGCCCCCCAAGCCACAGCCGAGCAAGACACCTGCCTGCCTGCCCGGCTAAGCCCTGACAGCCTTGCAGCTCCAACCGTCTCTCGCTCAGGCTTGTGCGGTGCTGCCACCGGTTCAGCTCATTCCCCTCCCCCGCTACTTTTCTAGGATGGTCACGTACCACCTGCCAGGTACCAATGTACCACAGGTGGTACCCGTACCACTGGTTGAAAAGCCCTGATCTAGGAGCTAAGTGCTAGAAAACAATCCAGCTCAGAGAGCACCAAGGACCCCCCTCCATTTCAATTCTGAGCTACAAATATTCTCCTTTATTAAATTATTATCCAAGGATCTTGGATAAAGTGGGGGAAAGGCAGAACTGTTGTAGTTGACTGCAACTCTGAAAGAGTAATCATTGCCCAATGTGGAGTAGAGTACGGGTGAACCTAAAGCTAAGAACTAGGATTATCTAATATCACTTATAGGAAGATGGTGGCGCAGTGGTTAGAATGCAGTATTGCAGGCTAACTCTGCCCAGAGAAGAAGAGTTCGATCCTGATCAGCTCAAGGTTGACTCAGCCTTCCATCCTTCTGAGGTCGGTAAAATGAGGATCCAGATTGTTTGGGGGTAATATGCTGATGTTGTAAACCACCCAGGGACTATTGTAAAGCACTATGTGGCAGTATATACTGTAAGTCTTAAGTGCTATTGCTATGGTAGTAGGACAAATTCTTCAATTAATGTTGAATAATGAGTCAATCCTATTGAAGGTCATGGGGATTATTTCCAAGGAAATCTATGTAGGATGCTTTTGTGACTTACTCATAGTGATTTTTCTCTTCCAATCACAGCGTGCTGGTAGGGCAGGATTCGAACACTGTAAAGGAACCCTCGTTTCTGAGTATTATGTCTTGACAGCAGCTCACTGCTTCACTGTGGATGATACGGCTGACCGGATCAAAGTCACAATTGGTAAGCAGAATTATCTTTTGAGAGGAAGCTGGTAGCATGGGCAGCTGGCCAGGAAAGAAACGTGTCTGGCGTTCTGTTTCAGAGTAGCCAAATGGGCAGGAGTAAGACACTGAGACTCTAGAAAGAGTACAGAGAAGAGCAACCAAGATGATTAGGGGACTGGAGGCTAAAACATATAAGGAACGGTTGCTGGAATTGGGTATGTCTAGTTTAATGAAGAGAAGGACGAGGGGGGACATGATAGCAGTGTTCCAGTATCTCAGGGGCTGCCACAAAGAAGAGGGAGTCAAGCTATTCTCCACAGCACCTGAAGGCAGGACAAGAAGCAACGGATGGAAACTAACCAAAGAGAGAAGCAACCTAGAACTAAGGAGAAACTTCCTGAGAGTTAGAACAATTAACCAGTGGAACCACCTGCCTCCAGAAGCTGTGAATGCTCCAACACTGGAAGTTTTTAAGAAGAGACTGGACAGCCATTTGTCCGAAATGGTATAGGGTTCCTGCCTGAGCAGGGGGTTGGACTTGATGACCTCCAAGGTCCCTTCCAACTTTATTAGTATTAGTATTAGTATTAGTATTAGTATTAGTATTAGTATTAGTATTAGTATTAGTATTAGTATTAGTATTAGTATTAGTATTAGTATTAGTATTTTTTTTTTCAATAAAGTTTTTTATTATTTTCATCATAAAAAAAAACCATCACAAATATAACACAATATAATATAAAAAACACCCACATCCCCCACCCACCCACCCCCCGAGACTTCCCGAACCTAATCCCAGGATAATATTCAAATATAAGTAAACAATTATTAATATCTCTAACTCCACAAGGTATATAAATTTTACATGAATAAGTGAAATATATATATAGAAAAAAGAAAAAAAAACCAGTTAATTATAAACCTAAATTATATTCCACTATTCTATGCTTCTTTTGAATATAAACAATCCATCTTCTCCATATAGATAAAAATTGTTCATTTGAGTAATTCTTCAAATAAGCTGAAATCTTTGCCATTTCAGCAAGGTGCGAAACTTTCAATCTCCAATCTTCCATTGTAGGTAAAATTTTACTCTTCCAATTTTGAGCTATCAACAAACGGGCAGCAGTTAAACAGTACAACATCAAATTAGTTTCTTTTACATCCAAATTTTGTGTAATACCTAGGAGAAACAGGTGAGGCAAAAAAATAATCCTTCTTTTAAATATTTGTTGCAAGTTCCACCACAATTTTATCCAAAAGGCCTTAATAACCTTACAAGTCCACCACATATGAAAAAAGGTTGCATCTTGTTGTCCACACCTCCAACACTTGGATTCGTAATTCTCATAAATGCGAGACATAGTTGCAGGGTCCAAGTGCCATCTATAAAACATCTTATAAAAATTCTCACGTAGATTTTGAGCTTG